GCCGCCCCAGCCAAACTCCCCACCTGACTATGTCTTCCGCACAAATCAGTTGCCAAACAAGGCTGATTCGCACGGCAAATTGGGGGGTCGCGGTTTCTTTCTGGGCTCCACAATATCGATGCCGGGTCGCCTCAAATCAAATATCATTTTGCGGGACGTCCACGCATCTTCAGAAACTGGGTCGGTGGGATGTTTCGCCCTTTTCGGTATCCATAAAGGGTTTGTGGACTTCCCGCGCCCCGCGTTGTAGCACTCGGGCTAGATCTGCAGTCGGGGTGTGTAGTTGTTTCAATTGCGGTTTGACGTCTGCATTTGGTCAGCTCTGGGCGAACTACTCAAGCATTTTTCCGTACATACCAAAGCAACCTGATCTGCGTCTGACATTTCTATACCCAAGCACTCTGAGAAGCACACCACCACCGGTGTGCAGAATGAGTCTTGTGACCGCTTGCCCATGTCATCCCCAGTTCCATGAAGACATCAGCGTCTTGCTCCGCGCCGGCTGGGCCGGCTGGCCGTCGAGCAGCTCCGAGACGTCCCTTTTCTTGCGGGGAGCTGTCTGGCGGCTGCGCGTGCGGCGAGCGTCCACGGCGTCCACGTCTTGGAAGGAAAGGATTGTTCCATCGTATGGCATCAGGCATCATGATGGCATCATGTGACATGCCGCTGCGCACATCGCGGAAAACCCACAAGGTCAGGCACACTGCGACGTGTTGGCGAGTCAAGGGGCTATGCACGTCCACGTCGCTGATACTCGTAGAGAGCACCACTGGGCGTGGCTGGCATTGGGCTCGGGGCAGGTCGGGAAGATCCACGCAGGTGGAACAGAGCAATACTACAACAATCCAAAGGTTGTGCATGGATCTTGATCTCAGCCAGAACATGAGCGCCAGATGAGATTTCATGAAGAGCCTGGCCGAAGATGTGGGGGAGGGCAACCTCCAAGCCTTTGATGGAAGCATGAAGCTTGCGAGTCGGCAAAGTGTATCAGTCGGCAAGGGGAGAGGGAAGAGAGGAACAGAAACGGACGCATACAAAGTTCCGTGATTTGAACTGGGTTGAGGTTTACTTGATTTTTTTCAGAGGAAGCCTGCCCAATGTACAGACCGGATTCTGGATCGAGGGGATGTTCGGAAAAAAACACCGAGCTCGTACACATACGTCGGCGAAGGGTCAGGTATCCTGCGTTCACCGTTCGTGGAGGTGATGAGGCACGTTGAGGAACATCCGCGAGCTGAAGGCCGCAAACAAGTACTGCGACATCATCAACATCCTGATCTGCCAGCCATCAGCGTGTGTGCCATCTCTATTGCACTGCGCGGGGAGGGCACAGACAATGAGATCTACGCCAGATAGAAATGGCCTGCGTGGCTGCTGGCTACATCCGAATTCGCATTATGCAACCAACTTGACTGGCTCGCCCAGCTTGGATGGAAGCGCTATGGAAGTCTTTCCTGACAGATTCCCGGAAGACCGGCAGCCGATATCGCGACATGCGTTGCGCTCACAGCCCTTAGCGGGGGCAGGGAAAATCTGGGTGGCCGAAGCTGGGCGCATGCAAGTGCCACAAAGACAACAAACGCACAATCCGCTACAAGCTAAACAAAAGAAGCAATTCTGAAGGACGTCGGTGCTGACCGCGGTCCTTTCGACACCATGCGTGTCAAATAAGCTCAGGAGAAACTACCGCCGCACTGTTCGGAACCCCAAGCCCCAACAAACAGAAGCTCAACTTGTTCAAGGATCAGACCAGAAGTTATTCTTGCCCTACCAAAATACGACTTGGAGGACACCCCTTTTTCTCTGATTCCGCGCCGTCCTTTGCGGGGGCGGGTTTTTCTCTTGGAGACCGAGCCCTGCCAAACTCTCCTCGGCGCAGCCGATTCGAAACCATACGCAGGCGAGCAAGTGGATGGCGAAGGCCACGAGGAAGCCCAGGCGCAGGAAGACGAAGGCGAGGCGGCAGCTGGGGCCAGCGCCAAAGGAGCCTATGGCAAAGAGGAAGCTCTGGGGGTAGCTAGTTCCATTCTGAACCCAGGGATCCGGATCTTTCTAGAAACCCTCCGGAAACCCGAAACGGATCAGGTTTTTGGAAAGAACGATGGTTAAAAATAATGGGAATCAACCCCTAGAGAAGCGCCAGCATTTCTTCAAGGGGCTTTCAACAGATTCTCTGCAAGGATCGCAAGTCCTGAAGTTTGGAGGGCGCTTGCAACAACCGGACCTCAAGAAAGAGATTCACTGCCGCTTCTGGACTTGGCGCCGTTTTGGGGGTGGTCTTACAAGCAAAACCCATATGCATTCATATGCATCTAAAAGAGACTCCAGATCACTCCCATTCCACAAGGCTTATGAATCGGTCGGCAGCAATCTTCACCGTTCACTTCAAGGGGGCTGACGCACAACACGCCAAGAAGCCTTTGTCGGCTTGCCTCAACTGAGCGGAGAAGAACCGGGCAACTGACCCCATATCCCGTGATCTTGGCCCACCCGCATTGTGCTTCCCAATGACATCAAAATCTTCGCACAGTTGCGAAACTGCGTGGCACTCTGCGACAATCATGTGCGCTTCTGTTACATGTTGCTGCTGTCTTGTTCGGCTGGTTTGTTACGCGTTGTCATGTTAGCTTCCACGTTCGGAGAGCTCAAAGGTTGTTGGAACCGTCTCCACAACACATGACGGACCGCAATGCACCAACATGTGCTGCAGTGTTGCGAAACTCTTGTTCATAGGCCTCTGCGTGTGTGAGTTCCAACAACGGCTGGAAGGCAATGTGCTCAAGAAGCACTTCGCCCATGGCGCCTGGCACACCACGTTTCACAAACATTTCAAAGAAGCAGCCCTTCCCAAGGCGCAAGCTTGTTGTCTTGCTACTCTTGCTTCTTCTTTCTTCCTTTTCTTTGTCGTTATTTGTTCTTTATCCTCCTCTTACTCTTTCTCTGCGCTGTCTCTTTCTCTCTCCCCTTGGCTTTCTTACGCTCTGTCTCTGCTGGTCCTGTCACGAACTCTGCTCGGCCTTCCGAGATCTGCACCTGCATTCCCAAAACAAGCTCTGCGCCTCGCCTTACATCTACACGAGGTCTAAACAAGGTGCGAACGAGTGCGCTCGGGCGCGCGCCCGTGTGTGTAAGAAAAAAGAAAAGGAAGGGAGGGACTGAGGGACTGAGGGAGGGAGGGAGGGGGGGGGGGACGAGGGAAGGGAAGGAGGGAAGAAGAGAGAGAGATAGAGAGAGAAAGAGACAGACAGAGAGCGAGAGACGAGAGAGACAGACAGACAGACAGACAGACAGACAGACAGACAGACAGACAGACAGACAGACAGACAGACAGACAGACAGACAGACAGACAGACAGACAGACAGACAGACAGACAGACAGACAGACAGACAGACAGACAGACAGACAGACAGACAGACAGACAGACAGACAGACAGACAGACAGACAGACAGACAGACAGACAGACAGACAGACAGACAGACAGACAGACAGACAGACAGACAGACAGACAGACAGACTGACAGACAGACAGACAGACAGACAGACAGACAGACAGACAGACAGACAGACAGACAGACAGACAGACAGACAGACAGACAGACAGACAGACAGACAGACAGACAGACAGACAGACAGACAGACAGACAGACAGACAGACAGACAGACAGACAGACAGACAGACAGACAGACAGACAGACAGACAGACAGACAGACAGACAGACAGACAGACAGACAGACAGACAGACAGACAGACAGACAGACAGACAGACAGACAGACAGACAGACAGACAGACAGACAGACAGACAGACAGACAGACAGACAGACAGACAGACAGACAGACAGACAGACAGACAGACAGACAGACAGACAGACAGACAGACAGACAGACAGACAGACAGACAGACAGACAGACAGACAGACAGACAGACAGACAGACAGACAGACAGACAGACAGACAGACAGACAGACAGACAGACAGACAGACAGACAGACAGACAGACAGACAGACAGACAGACAGACAGACAGACAGACAGACAGACAGACAGACAGACAGACAGACAGACAGACAGACATGACAGACAGACAGACAGACAGACAGACAGACAGACAGACAGACAGACAGACAGACAGACAGACAGACAGACAGACAGACAGACAGACAGACAGACAGACAGACAGACAGACAGACAAAGAGAGCGAGAGAGAGAGAGAGAGAGACAAAGACAAAGACAAAGACAGACAGAGAGAGAGAGAGAGTGAGAGAGAAAGAGAAAATGAAAAATAAAGACAGAAAGAAAGAAAGAAAGAAAGAAAGACAGAAAGATAGAAAGACAGACAGACAGACAGACAAAGAGAGCGAGAGAGAGAGAGAGAGAGACAAAGACAAAGACAAAGACAAAGACAGACAGAGAGAGAGAGAGAGAGAGTGAGAGAGAGAAAGAGAAAATGAAAAAGAAAGACAGACAGACAGACAGACAGACAGAAAGAAAGAAAGAAAGAAAGAAAGACAGACAGATAGAAAGACAGAAAGATAGAAAGACAGAAAGACAGAAAGACAGAAAGACAGAAAGACAGAAAGACAGAAAAGACAGAAAATACAGAAAGACAGAAAGACAGAAAGACAGAAAGACAGAAAGACAGAAACACAGCAAGACAGCAACACAGAAAGACAGAAAGACAGAAAGACAGAAAGACAGAAAGAAAGAAAACCAGAAAGACAAAAAGACAGAAAGACAGAAAGACAGAAAGACAGAAATACAGAAAGACAGAAAGACAGAAAGACAGAAAGACAGAAAGACAGAAAGACAGAAAGAAAGAAAGAAAGAAAGAAAGAAAGAAAGAAAGAAAGAAAGAAAGAAAGACAGAAATCAACAAAATAAAAAAAGAAAGAAAGAAAGAACGAAACAACAGGAAGAAACAAAAGAAAGATAGAAAGAGAAAGAAAGATAAACCATAAGAGACAGATAAGAGAGAGAAGAGAGAGAAGAGAGAGAGGAAAGAGAAGAGAGAGAAGAGAGAGAAGAGAGAGAAGACAGAGAAGAGAGAGAACAGAGAGAAGAGAAGAGAAGAAAAGAGAAGAGAAGAGAACAATAAGAGAAGATAAGATAAAACAACAAAGAGAAGAGAAGAGAAGAGAAGAGAAGAGAAGAGAAGATAAGAGAAGAGAAGATAAGATAAGAGAGAAAGAGAGAGAGCGAGAGAAAGAAAGAGCGCGAGAGAAGAACAAAAGAGAGACAGAGAAAGACAGAAAGATTAAAAAAGAAAAAAGAAACGCAGGAGCCAAAGAGAGAAAGAAAAAGAAACAAACACATAAAGAAAGAAAGAAAGAAAGAAAGAAAGAAAGAAAGAAAGAAAGAAAGAAAGACAAATAAATAAATACATAAATATAGAAAGAGACAGAGACAGAGAGAGAGAGTGAAAGAGAGAACGAGAGAACCGAGAAAACCGAGAGAAAGGGAGAAATAACGGAAACAAGCAAGACACGAAGAAGGAAAGAAACAAAGAAAGAAAGAAATAGAGAAAGATAGAAAGAGAGAGAAAGAGAGAGAGATAGAAAGATCAACAAAAAGGGAGAGGGAGAGAGAGGAAGAGAAAGAGAGAGAGAGAGAGAGAAAGAGAGAAACGAGAGAAATAAAATAAGGAAAGAAGGAAAGAGAGACAGAGAGAAAAAGAGACACAGAGAGAGAGAGAGAGAGACACAAAGAGAGAGAGAGAGAGAGAAAGAGAGTGGAGAGAGACAGAGCGAGAGAGAGAGAGAGAGAGAAAAAAAAAGAGACAGAGAGAGGGAGAGACAGAGAGAGAAAAAACAGAAAGAAAGAGAGTAGGAAGCGATAGCAAGAGAGAAAGCAAGAGATAAAGAGAGAAAAATAGAACAGAGAGAGACAGAGAGAGAAAGAGAGAGAGAGAGAGAGAGAAAGAGAGAGAGACTGAGAAAGAGAGAGAGAGAGACTGAGAGAAAGAGAGAGAGAGAGAGAGAGAGAGAGAGCGAGAGAGACACAGAGAGAGAGAGAGAGAATGACAGAGAGAGAGAGAGAGAGAGAGAGGACGCAACTTCTACCAAGTGAAGCCCTACCCGCGCACAGTTGAACAACACGAAGAACCAAACTTTTCTGCGTCTCGCTGACTCTGACTTGAAGCTTTCCGCCTTTTCGCCAGACGCACTGGGCCACTGCGTTTTTTCCTCTCTTTTTTTTGCGGTTGCCCTTGACGGCTGAACATTCAACAGCGACCTCAAAGTATCCAGTCACAGCACAACTTTCCCCAAAAACCTGGTACTAGAAGCCAGAGACAGATGTCGACGCTTGATTGATAAATCATGTGTGTATTTGGAGTACAAGAAGGCGCGCTTTTCAGCCAAGAAGCCAAAGGTGGCCGACGAGAGAGCCCGGAAGATATACCTACAAAGGTCAGGCTGCAGCCCGCCCTCAAAAGTTGAAAAAAAAACCAGTCACTTCCGATGGCTTAGAACTTGGTTGCTGTTGACCCCCTGCAGAAAGTTTAAGCTTTTGGGGGTTTAGTGGAAAACCCCTTAATTTCCCGAAAAGTACAAGTCCAAAGATCCAACCCAATAGCGGTCAAGAATAAAACCCAGATCTGCACCATCACAGGCCTGAGCTCGGCAGGCAGCTGACGCGCTGACGCGGGCCCGAATCGGACTGACCGACAAGGAAGCAGGCAAGCAAGCAACCAACAAATGCAACAATAATGTAAATGAACAAGACTGCTAGAACTGGCAAGCAGAGTGAACACGGGCAACATGGCGAATGTCAAAAGCAAACACGGACACGCAAAGGGCAGCAGCGCAAACTGGACAAACTGGCAAACAATTGCAGAAACTGCGAAAAGGGAAACGGGGCAAAAGGGCAAAAACTGCAGAGAGGGCAAGCAGTGTACAAATTGCAACAGAGTCAATGTTGCGGAGAGGGCAATCACAGCAACTTAAGGGCGGCCCACCACGTCACTCGGAGACGGACCAAACAGACTCCTGGACATTTTGACCGAACCTCACTTGCAAACTGTTGGGTTTCTGATCGATTGGTTGAACCATCTGATGGCCAAACAATGGAATGTTGCCTTGTTTGCGTGCACGCCCGTCCCCCCTGGGCAAGTGCCTTAAAACTGGGTCTAACCCACATGGCAAAGGCCTCTGTAGCCACGTGACTCGTGGAGCTCAAACACATTGGGGATTCTGGTGCAACCAGTCCAAGTCAAGTCAGAAGCGTCAGAGAAGTGTGAGCAATGCTCAGCAAGTTACCCTCCGTGCCTGAGAACACGTAGGAAACGCGCTTTCCGGATAATCCTCGCAGTGGATGTGCCTGAACGAGGCACGAGACCCCGGGTGCTTTGCGCAGGCCCGAGGCCCTGCCTGCGGTGCTCTCGAGATCCGCTCCTCCGCCGCCAAGCCAAGTCATGAAGGCGAAGAGGTCGGGCAGCACCACCAGCGCATCGAAGCCTTGGCTCTCAAAGCTCGCACGCGCAGGCAGCGCGCACAGGCGCAC